TCGAGCCATAGTCTATAGTGACCCAAAAAGGCTTAAGATTACCGAAGAACCAAGAAACGCAAAACTTTTATCGTTGATAGAAATGAGGTTTGAAATTTGATAAACACTTCAAATTAAGATTTTCAAGTTTTTAACAGTTTTAATTTTTGGTAAAAGATGATGAAAGTTAATTAAGATTGATTAAAGTTACTTGAATAAGGTAAAGGATCAAACAGAAATAAAACGTTTCTTTTAGATTGGAAATCATACAATCTTGATAATGCGGTAACTAGGGTGATGTTTCTTGCCTGATAACGAAAAATAAACCTTATTTTTCCTATTCTTCGTAAACATGATAATATTGATAAGATGTAAGATATAATTATTATTATTTCTGATTTTCATTAGTTTCAATTTTTTCGTTTTCGCAGAAAATACATGTTACATTGGAATGGTCATGTCTGTGAATTTGTTTACTTGTGTAAACGAAATGTATCAAGATATTGGTTAAAGTATTTACAAAAGTAAAGAAAAATTTATCTAGATATTTATATTGAAAGGTTAGACTGGAATGGGAAGCATCCAATGGTATTGTTCAGTTATGATTAACAGATTGATGTATTCGTCATATATTTTTCCATGAATTTGTGTTGTGTATTTAAATTAGCGGGACTCCTCATTTGTATTGCATATACATGTGGGTTGTCATTGAAAAAAATGATAATTGTGATAGAATAACAGCAAAAATATTTATTAATTTTAATGAAAATTTTGACTAACTAACTTTATTGGATAAATACTATTGACCATCACACAACCTCTCGATTATCTGAAATGAGATGAAAAAAGGTTAATTACCAAGTCAATCATGGAAGCTTTTGAAAAAATTTCAAACTTACGCTCATCTCCATGAGAACAGGCTCAACACATCGATTTATTGTACTCCTAAGAACTTCATCAATCATGCTATGAACCAAACTGAGAAGAGACAAAGATGATTATAAACAGAGATTTAAATATGTTTGTACAATCAACTTACTTTTCATCTGTGACAAAACGCCATAAATGAGTTTGAAGATAATACAAATCAACTTGGACCTGCTGTAATCCAAATGTACTGAATGTACAAAGGCGAACTGATTCGAGGAATGTCTGATTTTGAGAAAAATGATTAAGTTAGAAATTTTTCAGATTCGTTAAAATAAAGCAAACCTTTAGTCCTATTTTGATAATTCCAGTAACAATGGATAGCTTTGAAAACTCGACTAAGCTAAAAATTTCGATTCGCTCTCCAAATAGTTTTTGAATATTGCTTATCAAACTATTGTCAATAGTGCTGAAAAGTAAATAGAATAAAATTAGTCACTTTTAGAAGATTAAAGTATATTAAAGTTACCTTGCACCATATGAACTCCAGTTGGATCGACTATATGACCTAGAAGAGGGAAGTCCAATTCCACTCATAGCATTACGACTTCTACTTGAGTCTGAACTCCTCTCAGTCCTTGATCCTTCCTCATACAGTTGGGCCACTTGACTATCAATTAATGAAACATCCTCGACTACTCTTTTCATCACAGATCTTACTGAGCGCGGCTCAACTCCACTGGACCAGTCTCTTGTTTCTATTGACTTTTTAATCATTTGAGATAAACTATGACCTTCCAGTCGCACATAGTTATTGATTAAATTTTGAGCACAATCTTTAGCTGCTTGCTTGAGTTCGGTGAGGTGAGGGTAGGGTTTCATATCACGAGAAATGTATAGTTGCTCTTCAGTAAAATTGATTAAATAGCTGATCATGGTAAGGTCCAAATCTAAGTTGAGACGGGAAAGTAAAAGAACTAAAAGTGGAGTTCCAGATGAATTAGCTCGCTGATGTTCCGATGAAAGTGAGATTACATGTTTAAGCATCGAAGCAACCACTTTTTCTCTAACATCAAGGATGAAATCATCACGAAAATTGGTTTTAATTAAAAATGATAGATCTGGAGCTGAGAAAACACTCAAACTTTTAACAGTGTTCTTAATTGATTCACTTAATGAAGTCTCCAACGAAACAACAATATCAGATAATGATGTTTTGTCCTCAGCTTCGTGTGATGTTAAACTGACAATTGCATGACGAGCGTTGACCAGTTCTTCGTGGAATTTAGTTTTAGAAAGTTCCAATGCTTTAGAGCATTGAGCTGCACTTGAGTCCCAAATAATATTGAATGCATCACTGGTGAAATTTTGATACCCGAATATATTAGACAAAGCCTGAAGACGTCGATATAAACGATCCAATGAGCGCACAAAAAATGCTATCTCTAGAGTGTTGAAGGGTTCTATTGATAAGCGAGTTTTGATTTGACTAAAGAAAGATTCCATCAATGTATTGACAAAAGTTTTCAAGTTATCGATCAAATGGTTTTCATCAACACTATCATTCAGAGCAAGCTTCTGGATGAAAATTTCCTTGTAAGAGGTAATTATAGCTGATAAGTTACTGGCAAAACCATTTGAGGCCACATCCATGTATTCGAGTATATCCATTTTTTGAATATCCTCAGACGTTGACTTTTGTTGTTGAATAAAATTATTTGTCTCTTTTTCAAGTTCAGCTAAATTAACATTTAATGCCTTCTTTGATCTGCAATTAAAATGGAGACAAAACGAAAATCTCTAAAATAATTATCACAAGTAATCATATTTCACTCACGTTTCAAGGAAAGCAGATGAAAGTTGTAAAGGTGATTCTTTAAGACCTAACAAGAGGTTGATGGTAATTGCAAGTTGCTGGGTGTTGATCTGCAAATAAAATGAAATTTTTGAACCATGTCACAAAATAAGAGAGAAAGTATTACTCACGTCACTGTCTTGGAGTTGATTATACAATTCTTGTCTCAATTTATCTAGAATTTGTTCACATTCATGATCGATGGCTTCAATTGATGGAAAATGTGAATACCTTGAGAGAGTTCCAACTGCTTGATTATAAGCAGCAATGGCTTCGTCAAATTTTTTTTCTTCGATGTACGTTTTCATCTTAGGCGGGAGGTCAAAAAGAAATTGAAGTTTCTTTAAAACACCATCGGTAGCAGATAATTTAGACAAATCTTGACGACGAGTGGCCAAATTTTTTGAAATTTCTTCGCTTGAAACTGTTATCTTTTCCATATTAGATGATAGCTCTGCTAATTGTTCTTCCATTTTATCAAAATGATTACTCATCTATTATATTCAATAAATATCAAGACGGTAAAAAATATAATCATGATCTGTGATGCATTAAATTCAAGTTAACTGTATTAAGATAAATGCTTTAAATAGTAACCTTTTTTATTGTTTGAGTAGCATTGATGAACTTGTTGTAATTTTCATAGACCAAAGTTTGCATCTCATTGTCAAGGCTCTGAATCTGTCGACGCAATACATCTTCTTTGTCCATTAATTGAGAAATATTGCATTCTTTAAGAAGCTAAAATAAACAAGGAGACGAATAAGAAATCTTGCTAAAGGAGTGTCTTGCAAATTTGGTGACTACTTACTTTGCTCAAATATAGGTCAGCATTAAATCA